TGCTGTCCGATATCTCCAAGCCGTCATCACCCCTCATGACAGGAATGGGATTCCTGTTACGGGTGCTCTTCCACAAATAGCTGTACAGCAATTTCGGATTTTAACGGCTCGGTGGAGCAAATGACTCCCAAAACCCCGTCGCCTCCTGAAAATCGGGCTTTTCCCTTATTTTTTTGATCCTTATACTCCGTAAACGCCGCATTGTTTTTCTTTTCACGAAACTTCTCCCACAACCTTCCTTTTTTGTTGATCTCCTTTTTGAGTTACCAGTTCCATCAAACACTTATAAATTTGAAGACAGACAGTTCATCGGGTATATCGTGCGAAATGTACAGCAATAAATGTTGGGCACAATTACCAACAAACAATTTCCAGATACCGAGAGAACCAAAAATATGATATTGATATGCAGGAATTTACAAAGTCTTTCCAACTGACCACGGGCCAGTTGCAATCTAACTTTAAGCCTTGAATGAATTTTGGTTGACTGGAAAGCAAAGAATGAACAACAGTGTCGAAACCAAGCTGGACGGATTTAAGCTTACCCGCACGGATCGTGATGGACGTAGGTTTGGGTGAATCGCGACGTTCACACGGGACGGCATTATCTACGTCACGTATGGGTCCTGACCGGAAGGGGACACTGGTTGAGAACTCCTTAGTTGTAAATTGGAAGTAGCAAACCATCTGGGTCTCCATATTGCGCTGGTATACAAACCCCAAGATAGCGGAAGGATACGGACGATGCGATCATCGTGGAGTTGAAGCAGATAAGCCGTAATGTTGTATCTAATTGGTCAGCGTTTGGAATTCTTCAAGCCATCCTCGCAAGGGCTCCCATTTTGGCTCTCTGTTGACATTCCCCTTCCCTTTTTCCAACCCTCTTTCGAGAATGATCCGTGTTCTTTCAATTAACTAGTTTTGTATCCTGACCTTGAGCTGGAAATTCGATTTTTTTTCTAACAGTGGCAAAGGGATTCTCTGACTAGGATATCTATTGTTGAGGTTAATACGTTTTTTATTATTGCCTGTATGCTATTAATAGTACCGTTAATACATCAAAATCTGTTTTTGGCTCATACGCGTCACTCGGACTAGCAGAGGAACTCTAAACGTAACAAACACACAGTATTTAGAGGTTTTGACTTTCCAGCCATCGACCGGGAATTTGTGCACCGCATGCGATCGGAAAACTTATTCGAACAGAAGCTACTTCAGTTGGTCTCTGACAAGTTCCTCACTTAACACGCTGCAACGGACACCCGATTCCGAATTAGACAGCGGTCAAGCTGCTTGGATCTTATTCTCAGTAAGTATGTAAACTGTATCCACTATCTGACTTTTAACATGCCCCTGGGCCGAAGTGATCATTGCGCTCTTGTTTGGGAGCATGGCCATTTTCTGTACCCGAGATTTTAATAGTGAGGAGAGGAATGTAGGGAAAGGGGGTTGATTCAAAACGCCGTCTGAGCTTTCTATAAGAACATAAGTCGGTACTTAGTATAAAATTGTTGCTCGCCTAAGCGGAGAGCGCGCGTCTCCTGACCAGAGTGGGAGACCTGGGAAATAAAATGAATCTCAAAAATGAAAGGAGGCTGTGGAAAAGATACGCCTCATATCATCAGTCCGTGCATTCCTCAGAATTTAAGAAACAGCGACACAGATTTCGGAGTCTCCTAAGGAGAGAACGAGCAGCATTTGTGTCAAAAATAGTCAAAGAAAAACCGGAGAACCCGAATAAGTTCTTCGCAATAGGGACTCATTCCTTGTCTAAAGAATAGTGACGGAAATAAGTTAACCGGCAACTCAGATAAGACGATTCACTTATCCGAATACATTTGTCTGTGAATACAGAGAACTCGCTTTTTGATGAGAAAGCACACCGGCAAATTGTCCCACCTAGAAATACAATCAAGTCCGTCACGTTAACAACGAACTCAGTAAGGAAAAGTCTGTATCAGCTACACCCCCCCTAAACTGACTGTTCCGGAGGCATATTCGCAAAAGTTCTGAAGGAACTCGCAGACAAAATAGCCTCTCCGTCCTCCAAGATCTGTGAAAGCTTCATGGAAGCGGAACTCTGCCTACTGACTGGAAGCTAACCGCCATGAGACCCACATATAAAGGAGGGGAGAGAAAGCATCGCCAAATAGCTTCAGCTCAGTGAGCCTCAAAGGATTTGTTACAAACTGTTGGAGAAAATTATAAAAAAGGAACTGAGTAGGCAGTGAAAACCACTTTCTTAGTGAGTATCAAAATGGATTAAGAGGTATTCGATCCTATCACATTAGCCTGCTAACCTCAATGGAAGGCTGCACGAAATCCTTAGATATGGGTTTGCCAGTACATTGAGTCTACATTGACGTCAGCAAAACCTTCGACAGGGTGCTACACAGATGACTCACATCTAACCTGCGCCAAATGGGTGTGACTGGCAGCCAACTCCAGTGGTTAACCGACTTTCTTACATGCCGACTCCAGCGTGTGTGTATTGGTGACGCCAGGTCGGAGTGGAAATCTTTCACAGCGGGGTTCCGCAGGGGAGCGTCCTTGGTTCCATCACGTTCTTCACATGTGCGAATGCTTGCCTAGATCGCATGACCTTCGAGAGGGTTATGCTCACTGATGATTTGAAGATGTGGATTTCGACTGAAAAGTCACAGGATGCGCTAAACTTGCAAAACAACTTAGACTGACTGCAACAATCGTATGGTAAAGGCCTTCTTAACCTCAAATTAAACAAATGCCAATTCATCCGATGAGCTTTTCGGTTGACTGTTTGGAACATTTATGCAGGCAATTGTTGAATATGGGATTCAAGCGGTACCCCTGGATGAAGCAAGATCCCGCTTCCTGGAAAAGGTCAACGAAGGGAGACCAAGCTAGTCACTTTGCTGAAGAGCCTACCATACGAGGAACGGCTGGAATGGCAAAACATTTCCTTCTCTCTTATAGGCAGTAAAGAGGAGGCATGATCATGGTCTTCATACTCCTCAGAAGACTAGACTGTGCACTTCAGATGGTTGATTTTTTTGAACTAGCACAAACGACAAATCTCCGAGGCCACCGATAAGAATTGAAGACAAAGTAAGCCGAACTTGAAGAGCGGGCCAATTTATTCTCTCACCGGGTGATTGAAGATCAGATAAAATACCTAAGTCGGTGTTCTGGCGGAAAGCCTTTCGACAGTTAACCGAAGATTTGATAACATTTTATATGATGGCCAAGTATTTGCTTGATATGAACTGATACATATTTTAGGTCCGCAAATGGAAAAGTGGAGGATGACGATCACGTTAAAGCGTCCCTCCTTTTTAACTTCTTTCAGTCCGTCTTAACCCGAGAACCTAGTTCTATATTTTTCCCTCTGCCCGTCCGCCGACCAGTGTCTCCTCCTACTCCCCTCCCCCTCTTACTCCTCCCTACCCTCCTCAATCGAGGAACCATTCTTTCATCGACCAGAGCTTGGGCCGGACTACTCTGACTGAAGCCTACCAAATTGCCTGGCCCGGATAGAATTCCCGCACTGGCACTTCGTGAGCTTGCTAATGAACTGCGCAAACCATTGTTTGCAATATTTCAAAATTCATTTGAAGAAGGCAAGCTCCCGGAAAAATGGAAGTGAGCATTCAACACTCCTATCCATAAAGGAGGTCCACGGCTTGACTACGGAAACTATCGTCACGTCAGGCTTACTTGCATCGCGTGTAAAATAATGGGACGCAATGTCAAAAGACATTTGATGCAATAACAGCAAAACAACAAAACATTGCGTTGTGCCCAAAATGGCTTCCGTCCGGGACGCTACTGCCTAAGAAGTGTATTATACTCGCACGAGCAACGGACAAGTGTCACAGACAAGGGTTATCCGGAGAAAGTCAAAGTTTGTACTTCAAAAAGGCCCTTGATAGTGTCCAACGCAGGCTTTTTTTACAGAGGATCCGAAATATGGAAATTCCATGAAGAGTGTTTAAATGGATCGGGAGTTTTCTCTCCTCCAGAGTAGAAAGAGTCTTCGTTGGTAACTCTACCTTTGACTAGGCGAACGTGGAAAATGCTGTCTCTCAAGGTTCCGTTTTAGGTCCAGGACTCTTCCTGATTTACGTTAATGACTGCATCATCCAACTTAGTCGCGAAGCTCTCGTGTTTACGGACGACATAAACATTTGCAGTGAAGTCAAGCGTGATGATGACGCAAAGAATTTGCCGTCAAAATCGTCAAACTGAGTGTTTGGTCAAACATATGGCATTTGAATTTCGACGTGTCCAAATGCAAGGTCTTACGCCTAAACACCGGCCGAAATGCCTCTCCTAAACATCACTATCATATTAACGGGACGGCGTTAGAAAATAAAGAAAGACTTAGAAATCTGAGTTTATGAACGGCCACAAATCTAATGCCATCAGAACATTGTAGGAAGATGGTTCAGAAGGCACCTAGTACTTTACAATAGATCCGACGTGCATTTTAAATATTTCCTCTCGAAATATTCGAAAGACTTTTTGGCATCTATCTAATACCCCACCCTGAATATGGAATGCCAGCAGCTTTGCCATGGATGAGGAAGAATATTGATTTACGTGAACAAGTGCAACGCAGAGAAACGGAGATTGTCGACGGTCTAAAGCATTTAACTTACCAGGAGAGGATGAATGTGCTTGGCTACTTCCCTCTCTCTTATAGGCAGTTAAACCACAGTCTACTCCGGATATTTCGAATTGTCCGTAGTCAATGTTCAGTTCAGTTCAGTGTATTGAGGGAAATAGGCGTAAGCCTTTGAGTACCCTATTTGCAACGTAAAAATGTGTGGTATACAGATAAATGTTCTGGGCTGAAATAGTTCAAACACGCCCATAGTGATAGGACAAAGTGAGAACGAGTTACAGGGGGTGAGCTCTGCTTCTCATCGCTCTTCGTCATTTCGCAACATAAATATGTCCAAATTCTTTTTAAAATTTTGTAGAAATGGTGACATCACAACATCTGCGGGAAGGGCATTTCAGGGTTTGACCACTCGAACAGAGAACGAGAACTTCCGCACATCCAGCCTTGCTTGCTGGGTGCGCAGTTTGAACGGGTGACCTCGTAGGTTGGTCGTGGTAGCAAATTCAAAAAAGTCTTCGAAGGCTAGGCTGCAATCCAACCCCTTTACAATGCGGAAGGCTTGCAAGAGATCCCCGCGAAGTTGCCTGTAACTCAAAGGAAAGAGGTTCAGATTTACTAGGCAGGTTGCATAAGGAAAGGAGCTTTGACCCCTAACCATCTTCGTGGCTCTCCTCTGGACTCTTTCGAGGCAGTTTTGATCCTCAACAGCCCACGGCCTCCAGGCTTGTATGCCGTACTCTACATGCGGCCGAACGAATGTTCCGAATGTCTTTGAGAAAGCATCCTCGTCAAAGTCCATAAATGCGCGCTTGATGGCGTACAATACAGACATTGCGTTTTTTGCGACCCTCGAACAATGGGCGGATGGTTTCAGAGAACTTGTCGTCAGAACACCGAGGTCCTTTTGGGCTTCGACCTCTTGTAGGGCTGCACCGCCCAGAAAGTAGTCTCTTGTGCTGGCCGATCTGGCTGTGTTGCCTAGGCGAAGTATGTTACACTTGGCAACGTTGAACCGCAGGAGCCAACGGTTTGACCACTCCTCCAACCGATTCAGATTAATCTGTAGTCTGTCTTCGTCGGCAGCACCCCGAATTACATTCCATATCTTCATGTCGTCCGCAACCATTGCTACTTCGCAGTCCAAAGCTCTTGCGGCATCGTCCACGTATATAAGGAACAGAATGGGTCCCAGCACTGAACCCTGGGGGACACCACTCTCGACCACAGCAGGATCTGATTTTCCCCGACCGATGCACACAACCTGGTGTCGACCCAAAAGGAAGTTTTCGATCCATTTAAGGAAGTTGCCACAGATCCCTATTTTTTTAAGTTTACGTAAGGGCCTATGGTGTATCACAGTGTCGAAAGCCTTCTGGAAGTCGATGAAGGCTATTTGGACCGCGTGCCTGTCGTCGAGAGCTCGGGTCCAGCTCTGGAGAGATTGCAGCAAGTTTGTCGTGCAGGATCTCTTTTTCCGGAACCCATGTTGGCATCTCGATAGCAGGCCGTTGACTTCCAGAAATTGCATCAGTTCGCTCTTTATGATCCTTTCCATAACTTTGCAGAGAATGCATGTCAAGCTTATGGGTCTGTAATTTGTCTTCGCTGCCCTGTTACCTCCTTTGTGTAGCGCAGTAATATGCGCTAGTTTCCAATCGATAGGAAGTGTTCCAGTATCAAATGACGTTTGAAAGAGCATCGACAAAGGCACAGATAGCTCACTGGCAAGCTCCTTGAGAAGCTTGGGTGGAATCTCGTCTGGTCCTGGCGACTTCGATTCGTTCAATGCCTCTAATTCCCTTCGGACAATGCCTTCTGAGAAGAGTATATCACTGACGCTTGGAGTCGGCAGTTCTTCTGTGGAGGGAGGAAGGAACCTTGCCTCCTTGGTGTAGACTGATTGGAAAAACTGTGAAAAATACGAAGCTTTATCCCTACTATCAGCAATCTCAACGCCATCAGAAGTCCTTATTAAGGGAATTTGATGCCTGATCCTTGTAATTCGTCGGAGGTAACTGTAGAGTAATTTTGGATTCTACGGTGCTTTGTTAGCAAGTTCTTCTCGAATTCCCGCCGCGTCTTCATGATCAAGTTCCTCAGTTTGTTCCTCAGTGTCTTGTAGGTGTTGAAATATTCAACTTGACCAGTGACGCAGTATTTTCTCCACAATTTGTGCTTCCTGTTGATTTCTTTCTTAAGGTTCCTATTTAGCCACCCAGGGCGTTTGTTCAGTCTTACACTAGTCAGTGGGCAGTGGTTGTTGATGAGCTGCAGAAGGACATTCTTGAACAGCTCCCAATCATCGTTGACATTTCCCGTAAACAGTGAGCCCCAGTCGAGACCGGATAAGTCTGCCCTCATCTGATTGAAGTCTCCCCGCTAGACATTCCGTCTTTTGTGGTCTGCAGTATGTAAAATGGAGAATAACGAATAATCCCACAAAAGCACTACGTGATCACTTCGGCCAAGGAACGGCATGGAGGTGATCTCGTCTATGCTGTCTGGTGTTTTCGTAAAAACCAGATCCAGGCAGTTTGCCCTTTGCCCTTCACGTGTTCTCGTTGGGAACATAACATGTTGTGTGAGGCACGCATTAAATGTTTTGTTCAACAGGCGGTAATCGAATGCCGATTTTGGACCTGACGCTTGGAGGGTATTCCAGTTTGTGCCTGGTGCGTTGAAGTCGCCCATGATCATGATGTTAGGTCGACTGGAAAATTTCTCCAACTGCTCCAATAGTTGAGTGTCGGCGATTTGGTCTGTCCGGGGTGGTCGGTAGACAGTGAGGACATCGAGACATGGGGAACCGGTAGCCTTGATGGTCAACCAAATAGCGTCCGTGCCGCACGCAAACTTGGTGGTGTTTTCCGACACTGCCAGGCCCTCATTCACATATACAACTATACCACCACCCTGACGATGTTCCCTATCCCTTCGATAAATTTGGTATCCAGGCAAGGCTATTTCGCTATCGCTAATATTCCCGGACAGCCAAGTCTCGGTTACTGCTAAAACATCTGGAGACAGCTCGACAAGGCAAAGTTTTAGCTCGTCTATTTTCGATATGAGGCTTTGGGCATTCGTGTACAAGCACCTCAGTTTGGCACCAGCCGAATTTCCCGTTGTATTTGTTACTGTTCTGAGCATTACTGCGTTATCTCGGACGGCATGTTCTCTGGGCTCCTCCGTTACCTGATGGGTTCCATTTATATCCGTTGTTTCAGTCAGATCACTGGACGTTACGGGCTTACTTGTGTTGCCGCCTTGAGCAGGTGGTTCAACGAAGGTGTATGTGTTAGCTGAGTAGCTGCCATCGTTCTCAGTATTACAGGCTGTTTTCACTGAAACGGCATATATTTCCGAACTACCTTCCCCTTGAAGATAGCCAGACTGTGTTCGCCACCCTTCAGTCTTGACTTTAACTCTAAGACGAGTTCCCAGGTTGCTCGCTAAGAACGGAGATCTTTTTTGAGTTTGCCCCCACAAGCCAATTACGCTGTCATTCTTTCAAAGACAGGGACAAACGCACGCGGCTAGACCGTTTGGAGTTTTCATTCAACTAGAGGGTTGTCCGACCATGGAATTTACTACTAAGAGAGATCGTAACTTGTTCCCTTGATTTTCGATAGAAACCGGCTATTACAATATGACTATTCACAGCCAGCCCTGTAAAACACATTGTCATATGCAATCTTTCCGTACTGACTTACGGTGATTGGATGCGCTTCCATATCATTAGGGTTGTATTTTGATCCAATTACCTTTTGAATTTCAGCAACTTTATTTTGAATGCGAACCCGCGAAAGCATTGCATATAAATAGTCACCAGGGGCTCGATATTCAACCCTTCAACTGCATTCATACATATGGGTAAATATATCCACGGTTTTTTAGCCTCTTGTCTGTAAATAGGGTATGCAAAGGCTCTGCCTATCTACTTTATATATACTGAATTACACTGAAGCAAACAAACTTGTCAACAACTACCTTCCCATTTGATTATCTGGCGAGTATATCTGATTCTGACAATTCTGATATAGAACGCATAACTGTCAAAGCGGTTAAGAAAAAAGACTGGACATAAACAAAACGGGCACTGGAAGACACAAATACACTACCAGAAAAGGACGAAGCAAGAAATCTTGGTCTCGGTCGCGTGACACCATTTGATAGTAATATAAGTCCTACTACGGCGCATAAAAACGACAAACCGATGGCAGAAAATGGCTATCAAACAACACCTCCAAGGCGAAGGCTCTAGTAGATACACAATCCAAACCAAAAGCTCTAAATATGCAGAACAAAGAACTTTGAGTACTCCGAATTCTCACGCGAAACGAGTAAAATTCTGTAATAGCACCTTAACTCGCCAAAGTACATCTGAATGGCATAGGAATAGGCCAAACCATCTAACCTTTTAATCATCTTAGCACCTAATGGCAGTCCAACCAAATTCGCAGGACTATGAACACTTCCAATTGAGACTCTATCCAGATACATTTATCACCTAGTTAATCAACCTTCTCAGTCGGGCTTAACTCGTAAGCTTGTATATGTATGCATATATATTGAAGGGTTACAGGCGGAGCCCTTGATGACCCTATTTATATACAGTGCTTTGCAGATTCACTCTCAAAAATAAAATAAAATTGCAGGCATTTAAAATGTGATTGGGTCACAGTTCAATCGTAATCATAAGGTGGTGCATAGGGTCACTGTAAATTAGTGCGGAAGATTGTATATGACAGATTTTATAAAACTGGCTGTGCATAGTCATGCTGTACAAGCCGATTTCTGTCGAAAACTAGACGAGCAAGTTTTCTTTTAAACACACAGACTGTGTCAGCCGTCACCATCTCGCTTGGAAGCAAGTTCCACGGCCTGACAACCCGCTGGCTGAATGAAAATTTTCGTCGGTCTAAACGCGTGCGCTCATTCCCGACTTTGTATGCATGGCCGCGTAGTTGGTATGTACGGGCGAACTAAAAGAATTCCTCTGCCCTTAATGAGCAACCATGGCCGCGAACAATCCGGAACGTCCAGAGTAGACTGCGGTTTATTTGTCTATAAGAGAGAGTGAATAGGCCAAGCTAATTCACCCTCTCCTGATACGACAAATGCTTTAGACCGTCGACCATCTTTGTCGCTCTGCGTTGCACCTGTTCGAGTAAGTTGATATTCTTCCTCATCCATAGTGAAGCTGCTGGCATTCCATACTCTAGATGAGGTCTTACAAAGACACCAAAGAGTCTTTCGAAAAGTTCGGGAGGAAATATTTTAAATGCACGTCTGATCCAATGTAGAGTACTAGTTGCCTTCTGGACCATCTTTCTACAGTGTTCTGATGGCGATAGATTTGTGGTCGTCCATACACCCAGATCTCTGTGTCTTTCCACAGTTTCTAACCTCGTCGCGTCAATATAGTACTGGTGTTTGGGAGGGGCATTGCGGCCAGTGTTCAGGTGCAAGACCACGCATTTGGGCACGTTAAACTTCAAAGGCCATCTATTCGACCAAGCACACAGTTTGTCGATGTTCGACTGCAACTTCTCTGCGTCATCATCACACTTGACTTCACTCCATATTTTATGTCATCCGCGAACATGAGAGCCTCGCAATTCACTTCGCTGATGCAGTCATTAACATAAATCAGGAAGAGTACTGGGCCTAAGACAGAACCTTGTTGGACACCACTTTCCACCTTTACCCATTCCGAGGTAGAATTACTAACGACGACTCTTTGTAGTCTGGAGGACAGAAAACTCCTGATCCACTTAAACATTCTTCCTTGA